ATATATATATATATATATATATATATATTTGGACAGAATTTATATATTGTTTTAAAAATGGAGTGCATTCCTTAAAAAGGAAACTTAAACTTTTCTGTTCAACACTTTTTCAGAAAGATACATTGAGAAAAAAAAAACATACAAAAATAATAATCATAAATGGCGAAAATGAAAAAAATGGTTTGTGGGGATAAAAAAGGAGCAGTGACTGAAAAAAAAATTTATTACTAAAACAATAAATTGATGTAAATAAACTCTTAGTGAGTATGAAACAGAAAAAAATTATACTCCTGACCCACCATGTGCAGGCTGGGAAAAATTTCTTTGTTCTCCGTGTCTCATGGATTTCTTAGTGAGTTAAATTTATTTATATACAGATCATATTTTTATAACAACACTAAATGCTTATATATAGGATTGGATTCTTCCATCGATTTCGACATATGAGTGTCTGACAAACTCATTCAATTTTTATGATTGTGTCCATATGTGATGCTTCAGTCTCACCAGTGACCTACATACAAGTCCACACATTGTGCAACAGTGAAGATCTCAAGACACAGGAATATTTATTGATGCTTTCCGTCATTGTCTTTCGTTTCTTAGCTGGACAATATGACAGATTTTGACATTTCTGATACCACTCTGGCACAAATATCTCCAGTTATATCTATCCAGGGCAACTCACTTGAAGTTAGTATGAGGTACATTGACAGCTCTATATATAGTGTATTTACACAGCAAAAATTGAGTTAAAGGAGTTATGTTAAATTTAAATGACAATGTCTGTTTAATTTTTTTAATGTATTATTTAATTATTGAATAAATCATTGCTCATCCAAATGAAAACTGGGCACAAGCTGTTAAAGCTCATGTTTTTGTCAAATTTTCATTCAAGTACTTTCAACTATCTCAGTCATCATCAAAAAAAAATTTTGTCAATATGGTAGAAAAGATTTTCTTTATCTGTTTATATTTTTGAGATGAGGTATTATGTACACTATTTACGTTGTTCGGACTATTGTCCTCATCTTTGTTGCTATATTTATCGCAACGTTTCAGCCATTGTATGCTCCAGCCTTCTTCAGGTGGTTGGAATGTCGAACTGAATTCAATACCTGGTTAAGGTGGTGGAGAACTTGGAGAGGGGAATTAACAGGAGATAACTGACATCCATTAGACATGGCATGTGGAACGAGAACAGTCTACCCCAGCAAGTGAAATAAAGGGTTCAGTTTGACATTCCAACTACCTGAAGAAGGCCGAAGCATACAATGGCTGAAATAGTGTAAGATTTTCTTTGTTTTTTTTTAATGTTAGATTTCAGATATGCATGTATTGAATAAATGATGTCATGTGTAGAAAAGATTTACAAAGCTTGATAGCACAGTTAAATGAATGTATCAAATATTTTATATGCATATTCATTATTTTAAACACACTTTAAAATGTTTCCTGTGGTGAAATATATTTTATTTAATACAATTTGTCTTGTATAATAAAAGTAATTTCAGTTTTTCCTTGCAGTGAGTGCTGTATAATACATTGGTATTATTTACTAATATTTATCTTTTATTAATAGTTTGATTTGGTTATAGGCATTGTGATGATTGGTATGTACATGAAATGCATTAAGTTTTGATAAATGACAACTTAACCTACAAGAGAGTGTGCTACTTGTGTGACCAGTGTAAGAATTTAACGCTGTTTTGTGATTATTGGTAGAGAGGCCATCTCCCAAAAGACATGAGAATTCATAAGCAACAGTATATTTACTAAGGAAGGTGATTTCATTTCTGAGTTATTGATAGTACTTAGGTCAGATTAGTCAATTTTTCTCACCAGAATCTATCTTGCACATTTAAACATTTACCATTTGTACATGCATGCATCAAATATCACTGTCACATTTGATCCAGAGATTCTTGACAAAAATCAAAGAAGAATTTGCAATGTTATTGGTCTTGACGTAGCATCTCAACTCCAGTCATTTTCCCACCTCTGTAATGTAGCTTGCTGGTACCTTTTCTATAAATATTTTCATGGTAATTGTTCTGATGAGCTTTCCTCTTTGGAAAGCTCAACCATATGAATTTAAACATAGTACTAGATGGCAGTTAGGTTTCATAATTTCACTGCTGAAATTGCTACATATGACTATGTGTTCTATGCTAATAGTTTCTTCTACACTTCACACTTTCTTATCTTCTATGGTCTTCAAAAATTTAAATACAACATCAATTGTCATCTTCTTTCCTCTTGAAACCTGTTCTTTTATTGTCTTTTCTGTTTCTTTCACTCTCAGTAACTCTTTGCATCGTAGTGGCTTTTACCGCCTGGCTTGAGGTGAAATGAGTAAACAAAATGTTTTAAACCTTACACTAAACAATAAATCTAAGATATTTATTAGAATCATTAAGTGGTATGTACTGGTGGTTTATATTTTAATGGCTTTTTCATCTTGTTTAGAGTTAGGTTCATCTGATTATATGTACTGGTGAATTATATTTTTAATGGCTTTTTCATCTTGATTATAATTAGGTTCATCTGATTATGGTGATTTTCTAAGCGTAGCTTAGATGTGGCACAAAACCAAAAGTATGGGGCACCCAGTGAGGAATAAACTCACTACTCAGTCATAATTGTTCTAGCAAGACAGACTTGCTAGCCATTACAACATCAAGGTGCTCTAAGGTTCATCTGATTACAATAGAATAAGTTAATGATGTTTTTATTGTTGTTCATATCAGAATGATAGTATCATTATTTTTTCTTTAATTTTTTAAAGCTAATCTTATTTGCTCATGAATGGATTGGTTGATGATAAATGTTTGTTTAATGTTGCTTAATTCTTTGTAAAATAATGTATGCCAAGAAGAAATTGTTTTTATACACTTATGTTTTTTTAAAACAGTAATTTCATATATTTTGATTTTGATTTTAGTAGTTAAGACAACAAGTATTTTTTACTTGTGAGTTTATTATACAGTGAAGTAATAAAATTTTGACTATTTGCATCAAGCACAGGTATTTTGCTATTAATGTTAAGTTCATGAATAAAGTGTAGAACAGATTTTTCCTTAAAGTTTTTCTAAGTATTTTTATTTCATTGAGATTTTTGTTATTATGACAATATCATTGCTTAATCAAATATATATCATAAGTTAAGCAATATCATTAATGATATTGTTTTCTCTGAAATATGTAGAAATCAGATAAAATATGACCAAGAGGCAAACTCATATCTATGCCATCAGTCTATCTGTAATTATTGCTATATGTAAAAACAGACAATATAAAGACATTATAAATAAAAGAAAAAGTAAACTTTTCTATACTAACATGTCTCATTCCTTGAGGAATTTTAACAAAGTAAATTTCCACATTTACCTTGATAAAGTTCCTCAAGTAATGAAATGCACTAGCAAAGGAAAGATTTCCGTTTGTCTTTTATATATATATATATATATATATATCAGTTACACACATAGTCTGCCAAAAAAAGCATATATACTTCAAGAAAGGAAAAGATTAATACAAGTTACCTTTGGACTTTATAATCACAAAAGATGCTCAAAATGGTGTCCTTAAGCTTCCAGACATTTATTAGAGCAGTGAACTACTGCTTGAGCAATGTTGGCCAAAGTGTCCAGTTGGATTGCTGAACATGTATTTTCAATTCCTTATCTAACGGCCTCCAATGTAGTCCTTTAGGATTTGTTGATGCTACAGCTAAGAGGATAATGCCATCTGTCAAAACATAACATACCACAGTAAACAGTGTTATTGCAATTTGATAAAACTATGAAAGACAAGTTTTTCCTTTCCTGAAGTGTGTATACATTTTTTGGCAGTCTCTCTCCCTCTCTATATATATATATATATATATATATAACAGAAATAATAAAAATGTAAGCTAAATCTTAAAATATAAAATAAATTAATGGCTCAATGACAAAAGCCAGCAGAGCATAAATATTATAAAAATATTAATATAATAATATTAATATATATATATATATATATATATAGTGCATGTGTGTGTGTGTATATATATATATATATACACACAAATATATAAATATATACAAAATCATCAGGTCATCTATGACCTGAAACACTGTCAACTTCCAGATCCAATGTTAATCCATTGTCCAATTGTTTTATATACCATTATATATATTATATATATATATATATATATATATATATATATATATATATATATATATTAGGGAAATTCTATGACAAAATGGGAAAGTTTAGTTTTATTAAATTTGTTATGTTGGTGGGACTACACATGCACATCACAGAAGGGTGCTGGGGATTTTAGAATTTTTTTATCAGCTGAATTCATTTAGAGTCTTTTTCTTTTTCTTTCCATCACTTTTGTAAGTATGTATTCCAAACTGTGATATTAGAAGATCTGCCAGGAATGGTTAAATGTTGCAAATTTACAGTGGATGACCTTGTGATCAAGGCACTCTCTAAATATAAGTGTATATATATTGAGTATTATTATTATTAGTAGTAGATGACCTTGCAATTAAAGCACTCTCTAGATATTTATGTTGTAGTGAATTATTTTCTACTTTCATAAGAGTAGCATTTTTATGTCAAAGTTGTGATCAGTCTTGTTATAGTGGGCAACCAACACATTTGATGTATTATTTTGTAAAATGTCCCTTTTGTATTCATATAACCTTTTATTTAGATTCATATATATCACAAAATGTCTGTGTATTTCAGTATTTTTTGAGTAGTAGATACTCCATTGTTTTTTTTTTTTTATACTCTTATGTATATTTCTGAGGTTGCTGGATCAGTTTATGTATTAATAACTTTATGGACATGAAAGACATTATTTTGTCTTGAGAAATTATTCAATTTTGTGTACTTTCTATTGTACTATATTCACACATAGAAAAATATTTTGTCACACACATGCACACAAGCAACAATTAATCTTTTCTATTCTTTTCTTTTTTGTTTTTATTTAGATTCAATCTGCATGTAACCAGATGGAAGACAAATCCATACAATATTTGTGTATCCTTTTATATGTTATAGCTTTTGAAACAAACTTCAGAAAGTCTACTAACTTTATTATCCCAACAGTTTGTGTTAACATTTCATATTAATATTTACTTTTAAATCTTTTTAATATCAACCAAGAAAAAATAAAGCAGATGAAAAAAGGTTACTGAATGGCATGGTATCATCATCACAAATTATATAATTAGTACAAATATAAAATTTGTCACTTAGCTGATTGGTGTTATGTGTGTAATAGGATATTACATCAAAAACATGTAAAAACACTACACAAATACAATCATGTTTCCATGTGTATTAACACCTCTCATCAGCATCCCAACTCTAGAATTTCGTAGACAGACCTTCCAGCAATCATTCTATCCATTTATGGCAGGTTTCAGCAACTGACTGTTTATTTTCCCATTTTTCTTTTATATATGCACTTTTCATTGGTGCAAGGTTAATTTTTTTCTTATCATCATGTGCATGTGTGTGTGCACACCCACCTGCATGTATGTGAACACATGTAGAATGTTTTGTACCAAAGTGTTTATTTTTTTTTTTTTTAATCTTTTTGCTTTTCTGAGCGAGGTCAAAATAGACAAGCTTGGATTTGGGGTGGGGAGAGCATTTGATAAAATATTTATAAAAATCATTAACCTCCCAAGGGATTTAACCAATCATTTCATCTTTAAAATCATCAGTTGCCCACTATGCTGCAGTTTTAGGGATTCAAAAGCAGAATTGGTATTTGTACAAACATGGCATCCCATATATATATATATATATGATTGTCATCAAATATATAAACAATTCACAATATTTATCAAAAACTGACTTAAAATTTTGCGATATCTCACTCATCAAGAAGATATTATTAGCAAAATATTTTTTTTTATAAATGCTTATTATATATGCTAACTAAATTTTCAAATTTTCTATACTGACAACTTCAAATCCCATGATTTTATTACAATAATTGAAAACCTAAATTAAAACCTATATTAATATTTATTTTTTTGAAGACCCTGTAGTGGGGGGTGGCAGTGGTGATGTGTATGTATTGTAGAAGTAGAAGAACACACACGAGTTAAAATAACATTAATTCACTGCCAGAAATGTAAACAAAAGATATATACAGAATTACTGGTTATCTACTTAATTGAATAAATATTTATTTTAATGAACCTGACAAGGCAAATATTGTGAAACTAAGTCATTCTTTAATAAGTATTGTGAATGTTTAGTAATTTTCATAATAATTATTGCTCTAGGTATTTATATATGAGGTCTGATCAAAAGTATTGGAACCAATGCTATAAAAAAAAACAAAAAAACTCCAACACAATATGGCATTTAATCTCCTTTGAAGTAATTAACTTCTGAAGCCCTACACTTTAACCAGCATTGTTTCTATTGATGGAAGCATTCCTGGAACTCTTCTTTTGGGATAGCAAGCAACTACCTCAAGGAATTCTCATGGATTTCCTTGATATCTTGAAATCTTCTTTTTTTCAAGTGGGGTTTGATTTTTGAAGAGGAAAATGTCAGCAGGGGCAAGATCTGGGGAATATGGTGGTTGTTGGACTTGGGGAAGGTTATACTTAGTCAAAACCTGATGCACAAGCCATGGTCACTGATGAAAACTATGTGGTGTGGTGAGATGACCACACTCTACACACTTTCCTTCCAAGCACTGCTATAAACATTGGAAGTGAGCAAGAATTATATAATCTAATGCACATGGGTGATAGAATTCGAGGTCAATCTGTCTGTGCCAAGCAGCTTTGTGCTGCATAATTTAGCTCCATTACCATAACGACAGTCCAAATGCATTTTGATCAGATCACACACACACACACGTGTGTAAATTATTTTCAGAGTGTATCTGTAAAGGAACAAAATCAATAGAAGTTTTTCCTCCTGTCTATCTCTCTTTCTATATATATATATATATATATATATATATATATATATATGTGTGTGTGTGTGTGTGTGTGTGTGTCTATATATGTGTGTGTGTATATATATATATATATATATATATATATATACACACACACACTTGTGTCAAAAAGAGTAAGTGGCTGGTTTTAGTTCCTTTAGTTTATACAGAATTAAATTTTAAATATTTTTGTTGTGTCTACATTTTAGGTGGGGGGCATTTATAAATTATAGGCAAATGTACACACAAGAATAATTTTCTCCAATGTATATTTAATAAATCACAACAAAATAAAAAAAAATGCCACAAGAAAGCTATAAACTGGGAAATAATCGTTTTATATATAAATCATCATCTTCATCATCATCCCCTTGACTTTTGTAATTGTAGGTGGGAATCTGAATGCAGAAGCCATATTGAATCTCCTCCACAACTATCTATCAATGGCAGCCATCAGCAATTCTGGTATAGTCATACTTGTTCATTGTTTGATATTTATTCAACCAGTTTTTGTGTTGGCATCTCTCCTATGCCCACCTTTAATGGTGCCTTGTATGATGGTCTTGCACTGGCTGTCATGCCTTTGTAACATGTCCAAGCCATGCCATTTTTCTCCATTAAATAGTGAATATTAAATAATAAATATTAATATATTAATATTTATTTTTTTGAAGACCCTGTAGTGGGGGGTGGCAGTGGTGATGTGTATGTATTATAGAAGTAGAAGAACACACGCGAGTTAAAATTTCCTGCTAGCCGGTCCAACTACATGAGAAAGATGGACTTTAATTAAGTCCAAAGGTGGCAAAGAAAACCGATAAACATGTACAAACAAATATATGTATTAATAACAAGAAAGCTTACAAGTTACATGGACAGAGTGTGTGTGGTGAATATTATGTGTGTTTGTTGTGGTGAGTGTTCGTACGTACGTATATTGTTCTTAGCGTATTCCCAGCATTTGGGAAACGCTGTATCTGTGAGAGATCACATCTGTGAGTTGGTATAAGGCTGAAGGCCTGGGGAAAAAGAGAGGTCAAGGCGATGGGTCAGAGAGTATTTATAGCCAGGGAAGAGAGACCCCTGTTGAAGGATTAAGGAACTAAAGGAGGAGCTAACTCCGACAAACCTATGTTGGTGAATTCAAACACACTCCAGTTCATCGGTGTGATTCAAAAAGGTTATATTAACATAGACCTATTTTGCTTGTTTTTTTTTTCCTTTTTGAAATGAGCCAACTCGCTTACATGCTAATACCCTTGGGAAAGGTTTGAATCCTCTTCTTCTTCCACCAGCTATGGATAAATAGCAGGACAGACTAGGTTCTATAGCCTTGGATGGCAACTGGTCTACTGCAGAAAGAAATGACAATGGCAACCTATTGTGGGAAAAATAATCTGCCTTGTCAATCATGTATCAAAAGATACATGATCACCTAAGCATGTATCATGCATGGCAGATAACTGACTGAATCTCTGTAACATAAAATAGACAATATCCTGATACAAAGTCTTTTTGTGAAATTAGGCCCCAATTTTTTCAACATTATATTCTGAATTTTTATCTTTAAGGTGTTTTTAACCATTTCACACAAAAAAAAACAAAATGCATTTACACCCTTTTAGCAACACACTGACAAATTATTCACACCATAATGTATAGTATATTGTGGCAGTAGGAGTACTTTTGTAGTGAAAATGAACCCCCCCCCACTCCTAATGAATTTGGTTAAGCCTTGATTTAAATTTAAATTATTTCGGCTAATTTGAATCAAACATTGATAGCCAAGCACTAAGCAGAAGAATTTGTGATAAATTCTTTTTTTTAATCATTTCACCCTGACCAAGCAAGGTAATGAAGCTACTAGGTCACAAGAAATTACCTCGTGTTAGAGAATATGAGAAAAACTATTATTTTTCCTTGGAATCAACCATTGATAGCCAAACACTAGACAGAAGAACTTATAAATTCTTCTTCGCTGGCAAGTCTAGATAGTTCATTTATAGCCTTTTGTCAGTCTTGGACCTTTTTTCTCTGCAATAGAATTTTTGTTTGTGCCAAAATTTGTTCAGAATATTTTGAAAGTTAAGAGTTTTGTTTTATTTCCTTCAGATGTTTTCTTTCATATTTTTTCTCCTTTTTAACATAACTATTTGTTATGCCAAACTAATTTGTTAGTTTTTTTTGTTTGTTTTTTTTACTTCTTTTTCTCAATGTACATACATCAAATGTGTTTATTTTTTACTTTTGGCATTTTCATACTTTTTTGAAAAACTTTTTATTCTGTTTTCATTTTTTTTTTCTTCATTCCTTATGGGAAAGATGAAAAAGGAAAACTTTTTCACCTGTTTTGATTTAATTTTGATTACATCCTTGTGTTGTTTATTTTGCAGTTTTTTTGGAAGACTAGTTTATTCAAATTGTCCTTGTTTCAACATATTTACATTAGACTTGTTTTATTTGATTTAATTTTTATTTTAGGTAGTTTTTAAACAAAATTAACTTTGTTAAAAAGATATTTTTTGTAATGATATAATCATGCTGTCTAATGTAAACACAAAACTGAATTTCTCATACATTATTACATTTTATTTCTCTCTACTATTTTATCAAATACTGTTAGCCAGTCTATGTGTGTGGCTTCAGACCTTATATATCTGAGACTGGCCCTTTTATATATCTATCTGTCATGCAGTTTTTTCTCATGCATTACATCCCAGGTACAGCTGGGATGATCATGTGAGTCTGCACTTTATCATATTAACCCTACACCTGGTTTCTCTGAAGGACACTGAGTGCAATGTCTATTCTGGCATGAGCTGGTGTGAGACACATAATGATACATTTTCATTTTTTTGGTTTTTCTCTTGATTTGTTATTTGATTTTCTTTTTTTTTATCTGTCATTATTACTTTATTTTTGAAAAAGTAAAAGGATAACTTAAAAAAAAACTGTTTAAAATTTTTGCAAATAGTGAAATCTGGTCAAGACATTATTGGAAAAGACCTTTTTGGATCTGCTTTTATAGCAGATTAACTTTTATAAGAAAAGCCAACACAGGGATACA